GAATATGACTCCAAATGGGTAAACTGACTAATACCTATTTCCACAAGTTTACCAATAGTGACCACCTCCTGCTACAGGAATTTCTGTAAATAAAAACACCTGCCACAGACCTGGCAAAACATTTCTTCATTTCTAGTATATGCCAGTGGATATTCTATGCTTTGTTGCTAACAGATTCAAGTAACTAAAATTAACAGTTTTAAGAGTGAAAGTTCAGTCTAACCTTCTCCTGCAGCATCCAATTCTGAGATACATTGAGAAAAAGGTACAAAAACATATAAAGGAATGAGTTTAAAGAAAAAGCTGTTCATATCGAGCACAGAGCATGTTATCAACTTTTGTCTGTATATCCAAGTATTTGTTCATTCAATCTCTAGCCAACCAGGTAAAAAGACAACAGTTGTACTGGATCGTTTAAGTTCTCAAGCTCAATCTAGGAACTTATACTGAAGAGACATTTTAACTACATCTTTTTGATAAATGCAGTTAACAAAAATACCACGCATACAGTAATCTGAAGGTGCCTAACATGACACAGTTCCACTACTTTATCTTCTCACAAATTAGAAAAATTAAACCCAAACAGTAAGATGACTTCAGAACTAGAAATAGAGCTTTTTAAAAAAAAACCGTATGTGGTTTACACAAAGTTTCAAGTTTAGTTATTTTAAAAACTGAATACTGCTCTTGACTCAGTAGCTGAGCTTTATGAATTGCATTGCTTGTTAGCTCTCTATTTTATTCAGCCTCATTATAGTCTACTGTACAAATGATCAGCTGAGATCACACTGTGACAACAGCTTACTGCTGGCTTAAAACACCCCCTGAAGACAATCTACAAACGTTGCATAACTTTACTCCTTGTGTACAGACAAACAAGTTTACTTCCATTATTTTAATATCCCTGGTGCAGTCTTCTGGGAAAGGATAAAAACAACCTTCTTTGGCAAAAAGCAAGAGCTGATCGTGTGTCTCCCCCCCCTATTTTAATCCTGTATCCCTTTCTCAGAGTAGAAAACCCTGAAATTTAAAGCAGCTTAATGCAAATGCACATTTACTTTTACAATATCATACTGGAAGAGCTACTTATGTAGGCACAATATATAACCTACGTATCCTACACTGACTTTGACACTTCCGAAAACAGGTTTCATTTCATTCCTCTAAGAATATAACGTGAGAAATATTTTCCAAAGTGTTGTCTTAGTAAATTGTTTTGGATTCTAGGATAGTCATCGTAAGAGAGAACCAAATATTACAAAATAAAACAGCGTTGTCAAAGTCATAGAAAGGATGGAATGTAATACAAAGTCTTTAAAAACAAATATAAAAAAATTTTTTTTAAAAGTTGGTGGGGCCACAACATGGCATTGCATATCTTTCCCTGTAACACACCAGAAACTGAGAGATATCCCCTCAATAGGCACTGGTAAAGCCAAACCCACCTGACTGGAGATGTCCATTGCGGCATGCCAGGTTAGTACTGTCATTATAGACCTCCATTTGCGGCTTGGAAATTTGCAAAACTGCCTGCAGCTTCTCTACATAGTAGACAGAGCGGGAGGGAGGAAAAAGGACAAAATAAACAAAAAATAAAAATGAACCAAGAAAATTTATGTATGTTGAACACACAAATGTCAAGTTTTGCTTTGTTATACTTGATACAGGGTTAAAGATAAGAGGAGTATTTCTATCTATCCTACACGTTTAGCAAATTTGTAAGAAAATTCTGTCAGGGTGAGCTTGACTGAAAACAGCTTTAATACTAGCCATTTACAACTGAGTTAATTACAACAATCTTTCCAGTCTAGTGATTGTAATTACTTCCCAAAAGCAATGGTCAGGATTAAGTCAACTTAATTTACTAAATATTTATGTTGATAACCCATTTTTGAAAGTCCTCCCCAAGGTGTTACTTTTGACCAACTGCAAGGAGTCATCACTTTCCTTCATATTAAATGTTTCACTCGAGTAATAACAGCCAGTCAACATTTTTCAGAAACCTCAACATTATGAAAATGTCTTTCAATATCTCTATTTAGAAATGTAATTGTCTTAAAATTAAGTCAATAAAATTGTCATGCAAGCTGTGTTCTTTAAGATGATTAACTTCAGAAACATCTGAATACAAGATTTATAACGTTACATATTAAGGAGAAAGAAATTAACTCTAAGAAATCATGATAAGCTATCCTAAGCATAAGTCAAAGAGGCATAAGGCTGCAAACCACACAAAACAAGAATGAAGTCTCAGGACTATTTGTTCTCTGCAGTTCACACACCACTCCTGCTTTTCTCACTGCAGTTAGTAAGTTAGGCCTTACTTTTGGGGTGCTTTACAGCCTCTTCCATCTTTATTTACACACACACACCCCTACCTTTTTTGTAAAAACAAAACACGGTTTGTAAGGATGCAAGTCATACACTGTCACACTCCCCCCCACCCTCCTTTTTTTCTTCCTTCTCTCCCCCAAAAGGTAACAGTACCGAGCAACTACAGGAAAAAGAGATGGCCACATAGAGAGGCAGTGTCCTCTGGCAATATGATGAAAGTACATACTGCAAAAGAAGCTGAATTCTACTGAAAACATGTACACCCAATATCATAAATGCCCTGACTAGAGGAAGAAGTGCCATTTAGAGCTTGCAGATCATACAACCAACAAGCATAAACACTTCCTTGCCTATGCTTCTTTGTCTATTACAGATCTTTTTCCAGCCTTTCTGCTTCATTCCTTTCTTCTTCTCCCTGCTCCTGATCACTCACCACTTAGCTTCCCTGGGAAGTATCTTTAGGTCCAATAGTTTAAGGGATGGTTTAATAACAACATGCAGACTGAGCAAGATGCAGTTTAGACTGAAACCTTAGTAGCCACAGGCAAATACGAAAAGCTAAATTTCAAGATTATGTGCACCCAGCATTTACTTTGTTTTAAACTGAAAGCATTGAAGAGTTGGGTACAGTAAAACAAAACAAAAAAATGTTTGTCACAGAAGAACAGCCTATGAACAGCCACAAGCTCTGTAACTTGTAAGAAGTTACCCTAAGAAACCTCCCTCTAAAGAAGTCTAAGAAAAGTCCTTGTAGTATGACTGGCCGCCAAAACAATGTACTTTTTTGGTGGGCACAGCACTACTGAAAGAGGCACCAGATCAGTCTATGCCCTGCCCAGTGCATGCAATCTGAATGGAAAGTACACAGAGAAGCTCAGGAAACAAAATTAGTACTAATAGACTTCATAAGATATTAGACAATCAGTTAAGTTTGGAGAACGTTTCTGAACTTTATTAAAAAAAAAGAGCTTTCTAGCAAGCAATCATAATAAAAATCAATTGGCTTGGGCAGAAATTCCAGAAATGCTATTTCCTTCAACACCCGAGTTTGAAACTGGAGTTTTACCACAATTATCAATGGCTTAGCAAGTTCCATATATTCAGGAACTCCACAACTGCAACAACAACAACAAAAGGTAATCCCACTGTTGTCCAGTTTCAATTCACACACTGTCTTGCCATCACATTATATATTAACATGGAATTTTAATATCGCACATGAAATTACATACAGCAAATCTATCACTTTTCTTGACAGGCAGTGTAGCTGTAGAGCCCTCTGGAATAATGAAAGCAAATTGAGCTGTTAAATATTATTCCAGGGAATTAACAGGACACCCTTCCATTTAAATGTTTTCTCCCCGTGTCTGCAAGCACTGGAAAAAAAAGTTTACAGAATCTCATTCATTGTTTCTCTTTGATGATACAACATTGACATAAACCTACTAAATAAACACCACTGCAACTGTTGTCTTATTTAGACAACATTAGACCTTGAGTTCAAGGTAACAGATTTTTAATTAAAAAAAAATTGCCCTATAACACAAGCCTGAAGCAAAACCACCATGACCTCCAAGAAAGTGGAAGAATCCCTAAAGGTGTGCATTGAAGCCTGCATCTATACACAGGCAAATTACCAAAGAGGATACTGACAAAAGTTACTTTAATTATGTGCCACGTGCATCCTTCAACCAAAATACTGAAGCTACACAAAGTAAACAGAAAGGCACTAGTGCTGACAGAAAACTGTCCCCCTACAGAAAGTCTGTCTGAAATGGGAGAACATAGACTGGTACAACATGTGTATAGCATTGGAATAGAATAGTGTTGCACTGGACATTGCGGTTATCTATCTTCAGGAACAGCAAACTGCTCAGTGCTATGTAATGACTGCAGAAAACTAATATCCCCCTGTGATTCCAAATCTATCAAATATAAGGATTCTAACACAGGTGATCAGTCATCCAGGAGAGATCAGGGCTATGAAGACCATCAGAGCAAGATTCATCTACTCATCTAAATAACTGCACAGCTAACTCACCCTAAACCATGTCAAAAACAATGGCCACCATGAATTCAAATGGTAGAACGTGGAAGTCCTCTGACAGGTAGCACAATCCAATATTGTCACTGGACTGCTGAAATGATCAAGACACCTTGAGGTGCTCTGAAACATACCTGGAGTAACTTCAGCTTTCAGGCTGTGTCATACTACAGCTTTGAACAGAATACAATACAGTGATTTAGACTCAAGATGAAAACAGTGCTCGAATTAGTAAAGCCAACATCCAAGTTAAGTAACTACATTCTCTTGGTTGAACATTAAAAGGCATCAGTGGTGTGATGACACATGGCAATAATGCATGGGTATGATCAGACACCAGTGGGCTACAACACCCCCATCAGTGGTGTCATGCAACTCCACACTTACATTGAAGATCCAACACATTTCAAAAAAAATCAAAGCACTGGCCACTTTTAAGGGACAGTTATAATCCATATGATTTAATTTTCACTTTCTATATAACTTGCTTGACTGGATGGCATTTCAGTAAGGCAGTCTGCAATCACACCTCTGACTAGCAAGCAGAATAGAATGTTTTATATCATTGTCTATTTAAAGTCTGTTTCATCCTGCCAGCTAATGCAATAAAGGACTTGCCTATTTTCCCTTAAAAAACACAGAAATTCCACGGGGCTAGAGGAAAAATCACTTTACTGAACCTTAAGAGCTTCAAGAGCCTCAGATTTAGCTCAACTACAAAAGCATCTCTACACCACTTCAAAAATTCCAAATATCTGCTACTATAAGTAACAAGCTAAAAGCTATGCTTAGAATTGCACAAGCAATTCAACTCTAGATTACCTTAAATTTTGACAAAATCCATGTAAAATAATATATAAAGTAATAAAACCAGATGCTGTCAATACTTGAAAGTTGGTTAGATGGTATAACAAATATTACTCAAATAGATTCATAATCATAAAGCTTGCAGGGATTTAAATCCATTGCAGTATCTCTCCAAACAACATCTTTTTCCTTCCTAAAGGGCAGATGACTGCACTTCTTTCTATCCAAAGTTTGCTCTCAGGTACATTGAGGTAGATCCTTAGTGCAAACTGAAAAAGAATCTAAGTAAAACAAAGTACTAAACTTCTGATAACCTCAAAGTAAAAAAAAAAAAAAAAAAAAAAATTAAAAATCATATTTGACATCAGCTTATGCAATAAACACTGTTCTGTTTACTTATCAATCTGCACTCTGAATGAAGAGTACAAATAGCATGTGATCATACATTATGGTAGCAAAATTAACGTACCAGCTTGACTTCAACTTTAGGATTTTTTGCAGTTTTTATCTTTTGAACCAGAGCACAGCAAGTAAGCAACTTATGAACATCGCCAAGCGCTACTACACTAACACAAGCAAGGATGAAGCACTACCCACAAAACACAGGCATTTCTACTTAAGGTTCAAAGAACAGCAATTTTTTAAAGACGTCCCAGCCACTTGCAATTAGAATATCAGCAACAAGCCATACATTATCAAAGATTGTTAGCAAGTAACCACTTTCACTCTTTTGAGCCCTAGTTTATCACCTCTACAAGTCAGCCTTTAACCGTAATGAGTAGAAAATATCTTTTCTGCATATACTAAGGGTCTACAACAAACACCCATAATAAATCAGAGAAGCCAGAATCACCATGTTCCTGTCACTCTTTTTCAGAAAGAGCTAAGGAACCAGGAACTCAAGGGAAACAAAAAGGGATTCACTTTCTTGTGGTTGTCACAACTTCCCTGTCAATCACCACTCAGGACCACAGAATCACAAAGTGCAAGAGGAAAAAAGAACATGAGTTCTCCTGCCTGCTCTACACACTCCTAGCAGAGAGAGTTAGTAGAACTCAAAATAACACAGTGCAAGATTAGAGCTGCAGATATGCAAGTTAAGACTCAAGTACATTTGTTAGTTCTCCCTTAAAGAACAATTAAAATAAAAAAAAAAAAAGCTTTTCATTTTACTGCCTAACTGAAAGTATTTCCAAAGATCTCAGTTTAGAGGATGCACTACAGAAAGCTGCGGGTGTGTTGCTCGATGCGGAGAGGGATCTTTGTCTGTTTATCATGCACAGTAAGATACCATTTCCAATCCCGCCTGTTTTACCCTGCCCATCAAGAGCTTATATACAACACAATTTTGATAAAGCTAAACCTATACAACATTGTGCTTCTGAAGTGATCTTACCTGCTAGTCTTAAATTAGACCCTTACTTGATAAAAATTACAAGACTTAGGATTTCACAACCTTATGGTCTACATAATGCTAAGGAATTATTATTACAGTATATACCAATAATCAGGAAAATTATTATGTAAGTGACAATAGATTAACAGAACATGAAGTAGTTAAACTTACAGAAGGCACACTTAGCATTCATGACCAGCAACATGTAAGTTTTACTACAGTTCTAACACAGCAATCCTAAACTAGCTCCAGCAAGAGTTAGTCAAGACTTCCCCAGTTTATGACTCAAGCGTGCTACAGTATAAAGGCCTCTCAGTTACTTTTACACCTATTCCTTAAGGCATAGGGAAGTGGGTCACAAAATCCCAATTTCAAAATCCACCAACAGCATTGAAAAAATATTATTTACTCTCAACTAAAAACCAAAGTTCAGAGACCCTACACAGATGATGACTCCTTCACTTTAAGAATCAAAGTCATATTTTAGAGAATGCATTACATGAAGTTGTGTGAATAATGACAAACTTTCCAAAGTCATGAATTGTAACTTGTACCTAAAAGCTGCAAGCGATCCTTGGCCATTGCCAAATTTGTCATCATTTTAGATTGCAGACGTCGAGCCCGTTCACATTGATCACCTTACAAAGAAAAATCAACGTTAAAACACAATTTGGCAAATAAGTGCTAAAATATTGACACCCAGCCTTCCCTTTTCTTCTTCCCACCCTTCATCTATCCCCTGCACTAAGTAACACTGTTGCAAAACTAATGAGAAACTCCTAAAGCTTTCTATTTGATCAAGAATTTAAAGTCAGTTGACACTATCTGCTTTACAATATTGCTTGTAGAGCAGTGGGAACCCATGCATTGCTTTGCACATTCTCTAACATCTCATGCTGACCTAACATACGTTCTTTGTCGCTGCATTTTTCTAAACAGAAATCAGACAAAAAATTTTTAAAAAGCTTGAAAAGTGACTGAGAGGCAAGTACAATTGGAAATAATTCACTTTGGCAAAATTAACAGATTAAAATTCAGTTGGCTGTGTCCCTTTATATTTCAAAATGCACTGAATTACAGACATGAATATCACCACTTCCTAAAAAATAATGCCTGTTCAAGTCAAGCTCTTTTTTTTTTTAAAACTGTGCAATTTAGACAGGTTGTATCAAATGCAACTGGCATTACTACAGAAATAACATGTCACCACATACTGTCCACATTTCTAAGTACGGCTGAGGAACAAAACAGCAGTCTGCAAAAGCAGTTACAGGTTTGGGGTGGGTTACTGTCATTATTTTGTGGACAGAAATTCTTAGCAAGTCCTTCACTACAACTATTTCTCCATGGTACATACGTGCTTCTACACTACAGCTTAAAATGTTTCCATAGACACAGATTGCTTTCCTCCTTCTTTGGAAATGTTCAGCTATTTTGGCATAAGCTATTCAGAAACACAATGCTAGACAATTCCAAATTGGGGTGTTTCTTCAGTTACACTGAAGGGAATATAAATTTCTGTGTGAGAACAAGAACTGTCAATTTTGGCAAATCAAATCAGAACTCAGTATTTTGGCATTCCCATTATATAAGAAATCAAGTGTTTTACTTTAGAAGTTTCAAGAATTGGATATGATTTTGCATAGTGTGAAAATATTTGGACCAAGATCTGAGTGTGTTACAGACCAGAACATTAACATGAAAGAGAGAAACAGACCAGTGTTCACCTACAACTAAAACAGGAATAAGAAACACTCTTATGAATTAATTCATACAGTAGACCATTCTTAGCACCTACCATACTTAGCAGTATTGATTCCTCACTTCAAAGCAGCCATAAACCAAAATCTTTTCCACAAAACTCAAAACTGGCTTACCTTGACCAATTACTAAGACAGCTATTCCTTTTTCCAGTTCTTCAATTCCTTTCTTATACCATTCAACAGCTTGTTCCTTTTGTCCTGCTTAAAAAGGAAGTGAACCCATTATTTCTGTAATAAATTAAAAGCTCAGGAATGGTTCCATATAACGCTGCATAAAAGAAGTAAGAGGAAGGAAGACATATTTGAACAAAACCTTAAAGAAACGCTTAAAGGGACACTGTCAACTTTATATCTACTTGGTTTCAAACAAGCTTTTCTATTAAAAACAGGTACTATACCAGCCTCAAATCACTTTTGCCTGTTTTAGGAATACTCCATCTGCCTTAAAGAGATCAGTCCCCTAAAAAACTGACAAAACCAAAACCAAACAAATCAAAAAGGTAAAAAAGGTAGCTTACACATATTCATTCACCACAAAAATGGTGAAATTAACAGGTTTTCCTTCTGGAACATCAAATTGAGACATGTCTCAATCTTCCAGTGATAGCCAATATCAAAGTAACACTGCAAGCACAGAAATTCAAGAAGAAAAGCAACAAGCCTAACTACATGAGTGAGACAAGAGACACTTTTCCTCTGGTTGACTTTCGCACAGAGCAGTTCACTGGTCATAGGGGCTATTTCTTTGTTCATCCTGTCAAAGTGCTGTGTTGCAGGTGTATGTCAACTTTCACAAGTACAATATAGATGGAATTAGAGCAGACCTCTGTACCAAGAAGGTCCTAACCGGATATTACAGCAAAAACCACCATGAACATGGCGATGCCTAACCTGTACTGAGAGACACCGTGACAGCAATAACCCATTGAAGAGATGCTCCTATCTACTTCATATCGCTCGCCTTCTAGAAATGCTCTGCAATAGAAAGGTACTGTAGGCTTACATATGGAAACATACTATTGCAAGGTAGCTATGTCACACTAAGCATGCCTTTCCACACAGGAATACAGCACATTAGGTATTACAATTTAAACCTGATTAGCATTAACAAGCTGCTGGCACTAGAAAAAAAAAATGCCCAAAAATGAAAACTTCCCATGTCATTACCCTAGTTACAGAAAACATTTCACAAAACGATTCCTAAGTGCCAGTTGCCAGTGATTGTGTTGCTTCTGCACTCTAGTGTTTTGATAACTTCAGTCCCCAACCAATTTTCTAGCAAATTTTAGTACCAGTAAAAATAGTTCAATAAATTCGTATAATTCTCTTAAAGAGTTTTCTCTTGCCCCTCTTCAGATGCAAAATCTTTCAATAACATTTGGCAAGTTACCCTGTGCAGATAATTCCATGCTTTGCTTTTCTTACCAACCCAAACCACAGGAGCAGCACCTTCCTACAGTTGTGTCTATTACACACCTTGGGAATCGTTTTATTACTGCCCTTTGTCTGCCAGCCTCATATATCCTGATTGTTAAGTACAAATCTCAACAAATTAAATCATTGAAGCTGAGTGATTTTAATCCTCCCTGTAGCCTTTTTTTCTTCAAGCTTCTCCCCATCACCTATAGAAACAGTTTCAACAGCAGCATAAACCTAATGCTGATTATGGCTATTAGAAATCAAATTTGAGATTACTCAAGCCACCTCTGCTATGGCCTGAATTGCTTTGCTATTCTGAAGAGCAGCTGCAAATATGCCAAGGTCATCATTAAAAATCTCACTTTTAACTGGAGCAGTTTTAGAGGCAATATATCAAACAGCTGTTTGCAAAGGTAGTGCTCTGAATCTGCACAGAATGGTTTACTAGTTCTCAGTGATTAAGACATTAAAAGTACAACAAAGAAGTCATATTCCTTAGAAGTCATTGATTTGCTGCAGTGGGTCTGGCTGGGAAGGAGACAATTTTCTTTGTAGCAGCCCCTATGGTGCTGTGTTTTGGATTTGTGACTACACCAGTGTTGATAACACGCCAATGTTTTGACTGTTGCTAACAGCTTGCACAGACTCAAGGTTTTCTTTTTCCCACTCTAGATCCCCTGCGAGCAGGCTGGTGGTGCACAAGGAGTTGGGAGGGCACAACAGCAGAATGGCTGACCCAGGTTGGCCAAAAGGATATTCCATGTCATATAATACCATGCGCAGCAATAACTTGGTAGAAGAAGAACAGGGTGGGGGCTGTCTTCCAAGGCAGCCATTGCTCTGAAACTGGCTGGGCATTAGGAAGCAATTGCCCTTGCACCACTTACCTCCCCCCCATCTCTTTCCTTCACTTATCAACGTGTCTTTATGCTGAACCACAAGTTTTCTCACTTCTGCTGTTCCTGTTCTCTCCCCTGTCCCCCTGAGGGGAGTAAACAAGCAGCTATGTGGGTGCTTAGCTGCTGGCTGGAATCAGCCCACTACATGTGCCTTCTCAGTCCCAGGAAAGATGTTAAGCTTGATCTTGAAAATACCAAAACAAGAATATTAATTTTCCCAATAATTCAGAAGCATCAAAATTACCAGAAGTGCTTTCATAATTACTGAAGTGTGCACTGCTTCCAGAATAGCAAAACCACCACATAATTAACAGGATATTAGACAATCCAGAAGTCCTAGCCGTTTCACACACTATGCCTAATAAATTGTCTTCTCTTAGAAGTTACAAAAAACCCCGACTTAGTTACATATCAAATAAACTCAAAGGTATGCATGTATTTCAGTAAATGAAACGAGTATTGGACTGGCAGGGTTGTAACAGCTTTGCAACTGCTTGTGTTAGCAGCAAAGATTTTTTTTCTTACTAAACGTATGACCTGTGCAGCTAATTTCTATATGACAACTCTAAAAGTATCTACAAAGCAAGCCCATGATTAAAATCGACATTTGAAGGCTTACCCTTCAAACCACGAACAGTTACAAGCCACAACAGTGGAACAGGCACCTGATAATTTAAGATTTTCCTACTCTTCACAAAGCAATCATCAACAACACTGCAGTTTTAACCTACCTCACCTTCTTTTATGCTGTGCTCCCATGACCCTCAATGCTCTCACGCTGTACATCTGTTCTGAACTAACCTTGCTGCACACAGTGGGGGGTTTTTCTCTCAGAGCTTACCACTGCCACTCCCAAATTGTCAACGTGAAGCAAGACACATCCCTTGCTTTTACAGTGCTCCCAGCGTGTTGCTTCTGTTGAAGGCCTATGCCTGTATTTTTAACCTCTTCCTCCAGGATAACAGTTTCACTGAAGCTCAACTGAAAGGGTACAAGGTATTCTGACGTTTCCAGAGAATTTTAAAATGCAGACAGCATGCCCCTAAGGGCTACCTTTTGGACGCTGACAGAGTTGTGCTGCTGTGTTTAGAGTAAATGGTCAAATCAAGTGCACTAGCAATTGCCTTTTTTTATAATCCTCTAGACAAAAAAGAATAAATAATAATAAATTATTTTAA